TTTCCTTTTATTTTTTTATTAAGTTCCTGTAGTGAGATTTGCTAGAATAATCTACGTTTTTTCTTAAATAGATAGAATAATTTTACTATTTTTTTTATTGTTGAAATAACCTATTTTAGATTTTTTTAATTTTATAATACCAAAATTATCCTTCGCAGACTCTACTAAAATATTGGCACACTCTACCGAGACATTAGTAGACTAGCAGACTGTCTACCAACATTTTTGAAAAGAATTAAAGTGTCTACTAGAAAACCGCAGACTCTGCCGAGGTATTGGTAGACTCTGCCGAAACATTGGCAGACTCTGCCGAGATAATGGCAGACACTGCTAAAATATTGACAGACTCTACCGAAACATTGGTAGACTCTACCGATGTATTGGCAGACTCTGCCAATATTTAGAAATTCGCAGACTCTGCCAAAACATTACCAGACTCTGCTAAAATATTGGCAGACTCTACAGAGATATTAGTAGACTCTACCGAGATATTAGCAGAGTCTACCAGTATTTAGAAAAGCGCAGAGTCTGCCGAAAGATTAGTAGACTCTGCCGAGATATTGGTAGACACTACCAAAAAAACCAGACCTACCAATATATATTGGCAGACTCTACTAAAAACGCAGACTCTGCCGAGGCATTGAAAGACTTTGCGGAAGCATTGGCAGACTCTGCCAAAAAAATATAGAAATTACAAAAAAAAGTTATAATCTACGAAAACATTGACACAATTTTCGAGTGTTTTGTATTTTGTTGATAATGACATTTTAAATTTTGTGTCTATTTTCTTATTTAAAATGTTTTTGTTTGAAATTAAATCTATTTCTAATGTTAATTAGTTAGTAGGGACATTTTTTGTATTATGAAAAAAACAAAATGTAAAGTAGATTATTTGAACAATAAAAATTTTAAGAGGTTATCCTAACAATTCTTTTTAAAAAGTGGGTTATTCTAGGTAAATTTTTCTTCTTTTCATTAAGTTCGTCATTATCCCGAATGCATAACTTGGATTAGTTTACTAATATATGTTGGAAATTCATGATCCAACTAAAACATTCTTTAGAATTTTTTTCTTTTTTTTAATCATGGTAAAGAAATTCTCCTTTTTTTATACGATAAAGAAAGATCTTATTGGATTCATTTCAAAAGAAACATTATTCTTGAAGATCTAGTTAAAGAAGAGTATTTTTAATTCCTATTACGTCTATAAAATAAAGATTTTGGTACAATTTGGCGTTTTATTTTATTTTATTCTCCCATTGTCTTCTTGTCGTAAAATGAATAAATGGAGTATCAACATGAGGTATAGTATATCTTATAAAACTATAAATTACCTCAATTGCTAACAAATGTTTTGTTGATATGTTGTTGCTTAATCGTGTTAAAATTTAATGAGATATATATATATGATAAATTAATTGTTGCTCTGGTGGTCAAAGTGAAGTTCGTAGAAGGCTGCTATGTCAATAATACCTCTGGGTCAAGTAGAGAAAGAGAAATCCAGTAAATTTCAAAGTTGATACCTTTTAAACTGTTGAAGAAAATGTTATTACTTTCAAACACAGCTGGTTTTTCCTCAAAAGTAGACCTCCTTTTGAGGAATGAGGATTAGGAAGCTTTACTCGTGGAAAAAGAAAGTTGGCACCTACTAAACCAAGTGCCGGGTAGTGAAAAAGGCGAAGGCAATCTCGGATTGTTCAGACACTGACTTTGGTTCATTACCCGTTGAGAAGGTAGTAGAAGATCTCATAAGTACTATTCATTCAAAGTGAAACAATACCACAGAAACAGAAGATCTATTGTTACAACTAAAACATCTTTTTATCAAAATACCGTCACTAATTTACAGATTTGCATCATTCTCATTATTCGTTCGGATTGTGATGTCGATTACTCGAATTACTGTTTTCTTCTCGCATTACCCGATCCATCTTATGAAAGGATACATTTCAGATATTTTCGATACTTTTCATAGTAACTGAGATCTACATGTACAACAAAAACATCTATTATCATCACTCATCATAATATCCCACTGCATTAGCAAAGTAACAACTTTTTCGCCTAACATTCGTAAATCATCTATGCACGTACTAGAACAGCAATTCTGATTCTGATTAAAGTTCTTGCATCAAATGTGGAATCAGAAGGTGGGTGGTCGTTTCATCTTGAGAAGATGAGAAATACCTGCAATGACATGAGCACGACTACTTGGAACACCAGTCTTAGCCAAAGCTTGTCCATTTTTGTCCAGCAAAACAAAGCAAGGAACATACTTTATGTCATAGTGAAGAAGCTGCATTTCAGACAGAAAAAGTTTGAGTCTTTTACCAATCAACAAACTCTGTAGTATGTGTTTATGCATCAAGAAAAGCTTATTTTGATTGATTACCTCAGGGAACCATTTCTCATTCTCTGCATCTGCCATTGTAATACTAAGCCAATTCGAGTTCCTTTTCTCAACCTCTAAAACAAAGTTAAGCAACGAATTGCAGAGTCTGCATTTAGGTGAGTAAAACTCAAGTACTGTAGCATCTTTCTCGCTAGCTAAAGCAGCTGCAAAAGCTCTTTGCTCTGCTTCTCCTTGCTCATAACTACTTAAAGGTTTCTTCTTTGGTCCAGTCACCACTCCTCCATGACCAAACCTGAGTGATGAAGTCAAGGAAGTGAGAGCAATTGAGCCAACACTTTGCATAGATCTGAACAACCACGGGACTTGAAAGTCGCATCCGCTTGAAGATTTGGAGGTTTTGTTTGAATCCCATGGCCATTTCGAGCAAAAGGAAGGATCTTTTGAAGCAGAAGCACTCGTAATCTTTGATTCCATCTAGTGACGAACAAGAGAATTATAGATTCACAGAGAAGGAAGATTACAAGGCCGATGATTAGAAGAATCAAGACTGTGACGACGATGAGATCAAGAATTAGGGATTTTATCTTTGATTTTACAAAACCAAAACCGAATTGAAGTTTTTCTTACCAAATTGACCAAACCAAACCGTAACTCAAAGATTCGGTTTAACTTTTTATTTTCCATGGTTGAAAGTTGAAACTTGAAAGCAATTAGTTTTTTTTTTCTTAACAATTTGGAAGTAGCTTTCGCCAAATTATCAATTTGTTTTTTGGTTATTAGGCAAATTAGCCCTTACAAATATAATCCACAAACTTTTATACATAAAATCATCCAAACTTTTACAAGAAGAGACTTCCAAATAAAATAAAAACAATCAAATATTTTTCGTGAAGTGGTGCTAACAAAAAAAACTCTTGCAAGAAAATGGAACTTAAGGCTTCTTCCTTCAAAGCCAAGACCTGAAAGCAAAGCAGCGTGGCTTACTACGTTTTCTCCGCAAGCTCGAGTTCTTACCATCCTTTTGTCCTGTCTCCTTCTCTATCTTCTCTTCTTGACTAAAATCGATCGTCTCTCGAGTGACCGTTGTTGTTGAAAAATCTTGCCTCTGTGATCTTTGAGGAACACTTGCATAGTTCTCTAACAAACTTACTTGCTTTGCATGATCCTCCGCTGCTCTATTTGGCGACATTTCCTCGGTTTCTTGGACCGGTGTTATATTTCTAACCATGTATATTACTCTCTCTAGAGTCCCTAAAGCTTGTTCTACCTCTGGACTGACGCAAAACCGTCTTCTCATCTCGACATGAGTCTTGGAAATTACATTTCCATCCTCTGAAGAAACACTTTCTTGAAAA